CCCCACAGTGGTAACAGCCACAGATGTCCCCAGACATGGCCAAACCACCCAGCTGAAAACCACTGAAACTCCAAGTGAGAAAAGTAAAGGCTCTAAATCAGTACAAGTCAGATTTTTCTGGCCCAAGAACTTTGATGCAAACTTTCTGGAAACTTTCTGTTTGCACATTTTGGGCTTCAGCCCTGCAGCAGAGGGAGCCTGGGTCCACAGCCGAGGACTATGTCCCCAAGGTGTGAGAAGGAGCCAGCAAGGCATTTGACACAGGTGGTCCACAGAAACTCTTGCTTCTTTGCGAGACAGTTTGTGAATCTTACTTCCACGTATGGCTTTTGAGATGAACCACCTTCTGCTCTCCACAAAGCTGGGCCCAACAAAACACGAAGACAGCACTTTTCCTCGACTCCTACCAGGCACCCGGACCCTTCTGAACAATCACGACTTGTAGGGTTTTGGCTGCTGGACAAAATTCTCAGAGAAGGCCTACTCTCTGAACAGTGAGTGCTTTATGAGCTCTCAGAAAGCACCACCGAGGTGCCAGCCGCACAGGGTGCTCGGCAAGCCTAGTGAGGGTGGAGTAGGGGGTCCTGGGGCCAGCTCCTCCGGTGGTCTTCACAATCCCTCCCGGCTCTCAGTCCACCTTTTCGTTTCCACATTTAAAAACAAAAACAGCCTCTGCTTCTTTTATTTCCCTGCCCAGAACTGGTCAAAGGGAAAAAATGGCATGCCTCACTAAAATGAGCGACCTCTCACCCACCTCGGACGGTGGAGCGCCCGCTGCTGAGGGCTGCCTGCCTCCATCCTGAGCCCGGACCTCTGCTCACAAACAGCGGTGTGCAAAGCCTGGGCTCTAGTCCTCTCTCTCATCCTAGCCCGCCCCTGGTGTCTGAGCAAGGACTGTCCCGAGGCTTGAGCCCACGACCCCCATCAAAGCCTGTTTCTTCTAAAATGCCGCCAGAATGCTCTGCATGCTTAAAAACCATCAAAAGCTCCCTGAAACTTCATGAGTGTGCATGTGATGCCTTTCACCAAACTCTCAGTGGCTCCGCTCAAACACAACTGCTCACCTTTCCTCCAACCCACCTGGAAACCCTTAATTCCCTTCAACACTGAGCTGCAAAGATATCTCAGACGGAGCTAGATGCCCGTTATTTTTTGGCAAAGTCCAAGTACCAGCCTTATCAGCAGCCCAGAAGGCTTTAAAACTGTCATCTGTCTCCCGCCCTCACCCAGACTGTGAGCACTGGACAGACATCTTCCCTTTCAACTGCAGCACTCAGCAGTGTCTGACCCATATGGTCTTGGGAAAACATTAGATCCCTGTCAAATTGAGAGCCACCCGACCAAGTTCTCTGGGAAGATCAGAAGAGACAACAAACTTTGGGTCTTGCCCACCTACCAACAGTTCCCTTTATTCCTTCAACCCCCTTGCTGAGCATTTCCCAAAAGGACTAGCACTGGGTCTTGGTGTAAAAAAAAAAAAAAATTGGGGCGCCTGGGTGGCTCAGTCGTTGAGCATCTGCCCTCGGCTCAGGTCATGATCCCGGGGTCCTGGGATCGAGCCCTGCACTGGGCTCCCTGTTCTGTGGGAAGCCTGCTTCTCCCTCTCCCACTCCCCCTGCTTGTGTTCCCTCTCTGGCTGTCTCTCTGTCAGATAAATAAAATCTTTAAAAGAAAATGTAAGCTCAAAGTTAAGACTATAGCTCACAAACTGGGGCAGAGCTTAACCCCGTTTACAGTTGCTCACCCTTCCTGAAAGACTGAATTATAAACCTCAGGTGAAATCCTTGGTGTGCTGAGCACTTTCCAGGCCCCGAGCTCAGTGCAGTGCATGCAATCACTTATGGAGGGGGTCAGTGATCATTTTCTGAAAAGGGCCACAGGGCTTTTGTGGAAACCACTCAACTTTGGTTTTGTGCAAAAGCAGTCACAGGTTTTGTGATGAACTGCGCCCACAAAACTTCATTTACAGGAACAGGCTGCAGCTGGATTTGGCCCCCTGCTCACAGTCAGCCGAGCCCCTGGGTTGTTTATGACAAACCCCATTGTGCAGAAGGAAAAACTGAGGTTCAGAAAGATGGGGGTGCTACCCGAGGTCACCCAGCTTAGAAGACACAAACCAGGAATTTTGAGCCCAGCAGTCGGGACTCCAGAGCCTCCTAAACTCCCAAGTGCCCTTTCCTCTCCCCACAAAACCTGCACGTTTTCTTGAGTCCATACCCCACCCCCTTGTGTGCAGCTCATGCCGGTGAAGAAGCACTGGTCTAGAGGAAGGTTTAACTTCCCCACTGTGGACACTGCAGACGGTTCTCTGCGGGGAAGTCCTGGGCACTGCCCGGTTAGGCAGCATCCCTGGCCCCCACCCACTTGCTGCCAGGAGTACACCCAGTCGTGGCCACAACGAATGACCCCCAGACATTACCCTGTGTCCCCCAGGGCGATAAAAACCACTGGTCTGGGGAGAAGAAAAGCAGACAGACCAATCAGAGATAGAAAACCAAAGGAAATCCTACGGGATGCAGCCTGCACGTTTTCTGACACCTAATAAACCGGCCATTCTCTAGTAAACTCTTAACAAGCACAAGGAACCTGAGCAGAGAATGTTCTGCTTATTTAACTTCACAGAGAACCTAGGAAGCACGTTCTTCTAGGGTCCCTGTTTTAGAAGGAAAGCGCTGCTCAGAGAGGGACGCGATCTGCCCCAGCTCACACAGCCAGTGAGAGGAGGTGGAGCTGGTCCTCAGCCCCAGCTCCTCCCCACCTCTAGCACAACCGACAGAAGACCCGAGCTGTGAAAGACCTAACAGCCGCTATTAAGCTCTCACTTTGCGGGGTGCCCTGCCGCTTTAATCTTCCCAAGACCCCCACCTCCCACCCCACTCAATCTGGCAAGGACCGTGACGACGCCCGTTTTACAGCGGGGGAAACTGAGGCTCCGGGAAGCCAAGAGGCTGGCCAGGTGGAGAGTGGCGGCTCTGGGACAGGACCCCGACCTGCGCCCCACGAACGGGGTCCCCATTCAAAGGGACTGTGTTTCTGGGCAGCAGAAGACACCCTCACTGCTTGCGGGGCGTTTTCCCCTCCCGCTGTCCACCCACGGGCCTGCGAAGCAGCATTTCCCGGGCCTGGGGTCCGGGGGAGGTTGAGCAGCGCCGGCGAGGGCCTGCCCGACGCCACCCTTCCTCAGTTTCCCCTTCGCGCCGCCCACTCACAGCAGCCAGCTTGATCGCGGCGACCCCAGCCCCAAACCAACCTCTCCCCCCGGGCCCCGGAACCGCGAGAGCTCCGAGCCGCGGACCCCAAGCCCAACCGGCACAACGCCGGGCAGCCCCCTCCACGACTCACCTCTCAGGCGGCCGAACGCCGACCCACCGACGGCTGCGCCTGCGCAGCGCGGCGCTGCCCGGCCCCGCCTCCGGCCGCGACGCCTGCGCGGAAGGGGCCGGCTCCCGTTGGGTTTTATTCTGCGCAGGCGCGTTAATTACCGAGGCGGGCGTGGGGAGAAGTGACGTAACTTAGAGGCGGGGGGAGAGCCGGTCGTTAGGGCAACTGACCTCTGCGACCGAACGGAGGCCGGAAATCAGGAGCGATTTCCCCTCTCGAGCGGGAGTGGAGCGGTGCATGGTGGGACGGCGGCGGACTCCGGCGCCTTCCGCAGAGCCGGTCACGTGGCACCGGGCCGGCCACGTGGTGTTGCTGTGTCCGGGTATCTGGCGCCCGGGGCCGCACAGGCGCTCTGTGGATGGGAGCGACTGTTACCCGCGATCCTTTACACTTACCCACCCATCCACCCACAAACGCTTTCTTCCATTCAGTCAACGCACAAGACGTAAAGGACCGCAAACACGTATGTTTAGAGCAGGTGCTCAATAGCGAACAAGGATTTACTGCAAACCAGCTGTAAAAACCAGGAAAGTGTTCGCTCCCTTTACCTTGTACCGGGGTCGACGAACTACAAACTAGTACACTGGGACGTAGGCGAACCCTTTTCACCCGATGGCAAGCTCTATAAAGAAAAAATGGCGTGGCGGGACTATGAGTGGGGAGGCAGGTGGGCCGGGATGGCTAGGGAAGCTCCACCTTGTCGAGGTGGATTTGGAGGATAAGGGGGAAAACTCCAGGTACGGAAAACGGCGAAAATGAAGATTAAGTAGGATAAAGCTTGGTGGGCTTAATCGAGGGTGAGTGACGAGGAAGTTCCCTAGGATGACTCACAACTGATCACCGTTAGTGTTGAAGTTGCAAGAAGCGTTCCCCTAATTCACTTTCATCCTATTGAAACGCATGCATGTTTAGAGCCCGGTGTTCTTTAATTTCTTTTGCAGAAATAAGGGGAGTGGGTTTTTTGGCCATTCTGGCTCTAGTAAAATTTCCTGGGCCCCTTACTTCAAGATTTTGTTTGTTTTAATGGACTTGCGATAGTTACAGGGTAGGATACTGCACCGTTTAAAAACAAACACCTGTTGTTTGAAGTCCCGGATTCATTTATTGAAGCTTTCTCGATTTTTTAAAAAACTGCCTTTCATTTAATTGATTCGCCGGATTCTGCTGATATACGTGTCCTGCCTATATTCGTTCGATGCCAGAAGTTGGGTAGGATGCTGGTTGGGAAAATCTACAAAAAGCGCCTGAGATCTGGACGGTAAGGGGTTACTAAAGAGACGCCCTCAGGTGCGGGAGAAAACCTGCAAAACTAGCCCAATACAGTGATAAAAGTAGAAAGGGGGCAAGCACAAATTAATACGGGAGCTAGAAGCCCAGGCGGAGAAATCCAGGCAGAAAGAACCGCGAGTACGCAGGATTCTGGGCGCCAGCGGTGTGTGGTTTCCATGGAAACGTCCCTCCCGGGCCTCCCCGAAGGTTCCGCCCCCCTCGCCGCCAGAGCCAATGACGGACAGGGAGGGTTCTGGCGCGTGCGTAGAGGGCGTCAGCCTCCCAAAGCACCGCCTCGCGGTGTGGGCGGAGCTGGGGCGCGCGTGCGCCCTGGCCCTCGGCGCACGCGCCCTCCCAGCATTCAGCGGGCGCGCGGGCGGCGGGCGCCTCGGTCCCGGCTGCTGCGGACCGTGAGCGGACGGAGGCGGCCGGCCGCGGCAGCTGAGGCACCGCGACGCGGACCAGGTGGAGGGAGGGGCCGCCGGCGCACACCCGCCCGCCATGAAGCCCCCCGCAGGTACCGGCTGCCCCTCGGAGCGGCCCCGCTGCCCGCACCCGGGCGTCCCCTCCATCCTCGCGCCTCCCGGGGTCGCGACTCGGGCCTAGGAGCGGAGCCCAGTGACCCTCGAGGGGCTGGAGCCTGGGGGGATGGGTCGGCGCACCCGGGACCCCGCCCCCTCGGCGGCCGAATGAATGAACCAGCTTCTCCAGCGCTTCACTCATTCAGCCAACTCCGTGCGTGCGGCTTCCGCTGAGCACCGGTCGGGCCCTGGGGGCGGCCTCCGGGGGGGCGGGGGGGACCGTGAGTTCTCGGCGGAGTCCCGCAGCCCGAGACAGCCAGCAGAGAAGCGAGCCAGGGCTTTAGGGAGCGGTCGGTGGTGGGGCTGACGGCGCTCCTCTCGAGAGGCGGTCCCCGGGGGGCTTCTCGGAGGAGGTGGCCTATCAGCCCGGCCCCGGCGCGGGAGGAGCCGCTGTGCTGCCCTGAGCTGCGGGAGCACCTCCCCGGGTGGCGGGAGCTGCGAGGGCGAAGGCGAGGAGGCAGGTGCACGCGGAGCGCGTTTGGGTAGCAACAAGTCATTTCGGGGAGAACGCAGCTGGGGGTCCCTTTTATTCTAAGGGCGGAGGGGCGTCCTGAAAGGGTTTCCGTTATGGGAGCGATGGGGTGTGCGTCCTGTATTTAGAAAATTGCCCAGGCTGCTGTGTGGTGCCTCCTGAGTTTCTCTTGCTGGTCTCTCCCCCCCCGCCCCCCCCAGGTTCTTTCTCCAGCCGACTGTGATGATAATTGCATTACTGATAATCATAATTAGGGTTATGCAGGCCTCAGGAGGGCAGGAGTGTTACCGGGACCGAGCATGTCGGTGGCAAGCTGAACTACACAGGGTGAATGCGTCCGCTCCAGTTTTCAGGTCCTAGCTCCTGCGGGAGATTTTGCTGACCGTTCTCAGCGCACACGCATCTCCTACCTTGTCCGAGCTTCCGGAGCCCTTGTTTGCCACCCGACGTAACACAGACCCGCATCTTTTTTCTGCAGTTCTGAAGTCCGCGATGCTCTGCAAGCGGAACGATTTTCCCTAAGCTCGTGGCAGTCCGTTGGCCAGAATGTCCGGCCTGCCCTGGCTCAAGAGCCTTTCTTTTTCCCACTTGGTGTATGTCAGTGGTCCTCAGCTGGGGTGATTGCGGCACGCCAGGGGACACTGGGCAGTGTCTGGGGGTGCTCCTGGCATTGAGTGGCTGCGGCCCCAGGGGTGCTGTTCATACCCTGCAGTGCCCAGGGTGGACCCCCACCCCAGAGAGCGACCCAGCCACAGATGTTGATAATGTCGTTAAAAAAAGCACCCTGCCCTAGAGACGCCAAACACGGGTCCCAGCCGGCAGTACCCTGCAAAGATCCCGTCCCTCTTCAGTATTCACAAAAAGGCGGGTAGTCCAGGACTACTGTGGCCCTGGTCAACTCCCTGCCATGCCAGAGGGGAAAATGGGGCACAAGTGGGTGTTTCCTGGAGCAGCTTCTACTTATTCTGCATTCCATACTCTACTGGGGGATCACACAAGCCTGTGTTCATTAATTGAAGTAATTTGGGGCAGGTGTGGCCATTTGAGACACAGGTGCTGCAGGGATGCCATTGGGATGTCTGAGGAAGGAGCATGGAACGGAGGATTGCTAGGATTGGGGCTCAGGGCAGAGGGGACAGCCTGTGGGAAGGCCTGGGAGATACCTTGAAGAAAGCAGGTGTGGCTAGGCACAGGCCAGCTGGCCAGACCTGCTAAGCAAGACCCAACAGAGTGTGGATGGTGTAGACCAGGGGTCAGCAAACCAGTCTGTAAAGGGCTTGCTAGTTTAGGCTTGGTGAGTCACTTAGTCTCGTGCAACATCATTTTGACCCTGTGGGCTGTACAAAAACAGGTTGTCATTTGCTAATCCCTGGTATAAACTCCAGTAAGGGTTGAAGCGGGGTGGAGCCCTGGAAAGGGGGCAGGAAGATCTGACAATCAGATATTTACAAAGGTGGGGGGTGCACATGATACACTGGTTCACAGGGTTGGAGCCGAGGTCAGACTGCACAGGTTTGAATCCCACCTCCGCCACTTGCTGGCGTGAGACTTGAATTCTCTAAATCTCCGGACCTCCATCTGTACAATGGGGGCCACATAGAACCCAGAGTTCAGAACTGCGAATCAGTGAGGGAATGAAAGTAAAACATCTTTACCCTGAACACTGCACAGCAGTTTAAGCGACAGATGTTTTTACAGACCACGGGCTCTTATCCAAAAAGTCTTGGGTCTAGGGACATTTTAGCAATAAGGAATTTTCCCTATTTTAGGAAAGCAATACAGTGTAAATGTCACATTACATCAAGGGACGTCAGGGGTAGCGCCCTTTAATCGAGTAAGTTAACTCAGATGGAGGTGTATACCAAATATCCACCCCAGCACTGCCGATGTTGGGGCTGGGTCATTGTGGGGTGCCCTTGGGCCTTGCCTACCTGCATGGGGAAACCATGCTCCTGTCTTTGCCCTCCAACCCCTACTTAGTCTAACCCTACTTCTGTCCTTGAAGCAGACACATTCAGTGTGGGGCTCTGTCTTCTCTGTCCAGCCTGTGCAGGAGATGCCCTGGACACAGCAGCCCCGTGCTCCGTGGTGAACTACCTAAGATGGGACCTGAGCGCCCAGCAAATAGGGGAGCTCACTGTGGAGCTCATTGAGCAAACTAAGCGTGTATATGACCAGGTGGGCTCCCAGAAGTTTGAAGACGTGTCCTATGAGAGTACCCTCAAGGCGCTGGCTGATGTGGAGGTGTCCTACACAGGTAAATCCGGGTCAGGATCCAGGCAGGGAGGCAGAAGTGCTCAGGCCTTGGAGCTCCTGGACCCTGGCCGTGGGTGAGGCCTCCTCCTCCCCAGAGGGATGGTGATGGATATAGGAGCTGCCTGGGGGTAAAGGCATCTGCTCGGCAAGAGGCAGCCCGGAGGGCCGCTGGCTCCCCTGCGTGCCCTGCTGCACAGCCTGGCGGACTTAGTTCTCACGGGCTGTGTCATCTGAGGGTCCAGAGCAGGACAGCCTGTCTAACAGCACTCCTCTCTAGGAGCCAGCTCCCGTGCCAGCCTCGAAACCGCAGCCACTCCTTGCTCCTTCTCTCTGAGCAACTCAACTTGGCCCCCTTTGCTTTTCTTCTCCCCCCTGCACTTTGGTAGCTTGATGCCATTAGGTGTCCTCATCACCACCCAACTGGATCCTTCTCTCCTTGGGGTCCGTTTACTCCCTTTGTGAGGGACGAGGTGCTCAAATAGATGCAGAGCTGCTTCCCTGAGCCCACTCTGTAGAGGTTGATGGTGTGGGGACAAAAGACCAAGACGGGTCTTGCAGCAGAGAACTCTGAGCTGAGGAAACCCTTGCTCCTGGATCTCTAGCAAAAGTCCTTTTTCTGGGAACCTTTGAGAATCTCTGCTGGGGGGGTTCTCACGAAGCCTCCCTGTGCCGCGTTTGCTAGATGCCGTGGGTTTCTGTGCTGCCTTCAGGTGGGTGCGCCTCAGTCTTCCCCCCTCATCTCTTTCTAGAGAGGCTCTTGGCAATTGCGTGATGCTAATTCCTGCCTATTGGGCATAGCCCTGCCAGACACCAACTTCACTCCTACAGCCTTTTTTTCTGTCTCCCCACAGTAGCCCAAGGAATTTTATTTTATTTTTAAAGATTTTATGTATTTGAGAGGAAGAGAGGGCATATGTGTGCATGACGGAAGAGAGGCAGAGGGAGGAGCAGGGACCCTGATGTGGGACTCGATCTCAGGACCCCGAGATCATGACCTGAGCCGAAGACAGACGATTAACCAACTGAGCCCCCCCCCGGCTCCCACCCCCCAAGGGGTTTTAAAGGAAACTAAAATTGAATCATGGCATTCCCCCCCCCCCCCCCCCCCCCCCCCCGCCAGCCCCTCAGTGTCTTTCCACTGCCCTCCGGACAAAGGCTAGAGTCCTTGATGTTGCTTTTGGTGCGGTTCGCCCCTCTCTGACCTTCCTCAAAGGTGTGAGTGCCCGGCCATGTGGCTGCTCGCACTTGCTCACACTCTCCTGTCTCGGGGCTTCACACACCCCCTGCTTTGGTAGATTTTGGGCTTCTCTGTGATCACAGATTAACTCCCCTCGGCATCCCCTTCCCGGGCCCCCTCTGCTCTCACGGGCTGCTTGCATCGATCCCACACACTGCACGATTTTGTTGTCACACTTGGTGCAGTCACAGGCGCTTGTGAGCCTGTAAATCCCAGACGGACGGATGCTATTTCTGTCCTTTTCACTGTCCTCTCTTGGGCATCCGGCAGCAGGTCTGCCCTGGGGCCACGGGAGCAACCAAGCTGTGATTTGAATACAGGTCTTTCCAATGCAGAGTGTATGCTTTTTAAAACTAAATGCTCCGTGGAGATCTGATTTACATATCATAGAATTTGCTCAAAGCATACATTTCAGTGGTTTTTATATTCAGAGTTATCCATCACCATGTTCTAATTCTAGAACATTCCATCACCCCAAAGGGAAATCCTGTCCCCATCAGCAGTCACTCCCCATCTCCAACCCACCCCCCCATGCCCTGGCCCCCACGAGCCCCCTTCCCGTCTGTGGATGAGCCTGTTCTGGACGTGTCACCCACGTGGACTCACACCCCGTGTGGCCTTCTGTGTCTGGTTCCCTCTCTGAGCGTCGTGGGCTCGGGGTCTGTCCCCGGGGCAGCGTGCGTGGGTGCCTCACTTCTGTTCACAGCCAACTGACATGCTGGTGTGTGGGGGACACGTTGAGTTTGTCCGCCCACCTGTCAGTGGACATTTGGGTCATGTCCACTTGGGTTATTCACGGTCCTGCTGCTGTGAACACGTGATTTTTGTGTGATTGCATGTAGGCACCTAGTGGTATGTTGCCCGGTCAGGCGGTGATTGTTAAAGCTTACATTCTCACAACCACCCATGCTTCCTCTGTTTAACAAAATGCGAGTGTGCTCTGTAAGTTAGAAAATTGTTTATGAATTTAAACGCTGCCATCAGCAGCCTTGGCTCTTTTTCTGGAATCGAGTTATTTTAGCCTCTCTAGATCTTGTCATACTTCTCTGTTACGGTCCTTCTTTCCTTGGAGTTTGGGAGTTGAGTCTGTTTCCACTGGACTGTGAGATCCCCGAGGACATGGGTGACCAACCATGCCCCTTTCTTCCTTCCGGCACCCAGCCCAGGGCCCAGTGTGGAGAGCGTTCACTGAACAGATCGGCAGATGTGGATGAGCTACGTGCCTGGCGGGGTGAGGTTGGTATGTGCCAGTTTCTACCTGGGGCCTATTTTCACACCTGTCCCGTTCTCCCCCCGTTTCAGTTCAGAGGAATATCCTTGATTTCCCGCAGCACGTTTCTCCATCTAAGGACATTCGGATGGCCAGCACAGAGGCGGACAAAAAGCTGTCGGAGTTTGATGTGGAGATGAGCATGAGGCAGGATGTGTACCAGAGGATTGTCTGGCTGCAGGTGAGGATGCAGCGAGGTACCAGGCATGTTGGAGGTAGACACCGGGGGTACAGACCGGCGTCCAGATAGGCACTGCTGGATCAGAATCTCTTTAGACTTGATCATTCTGTTTCTCAGACTTTGGAAGGTGGGGAGCTGAGGGGCCCTGGGGGTGGCCGGTGGGGACCGCTGAGTGGCAGGGCACGTGCACTTAGGGCCACTGAACCATGCGTTTAAGAACGGCTGAGGCGGTGAGTTTTGTGTTTTGTTTTACCACAGTAAAGAAACATGAGAGAATGACAGAGATAAATGCAGAGGAACGCAAACAATAGAGCCTAAAATGCCTAGGACTTTGTAAGCCTTTCCTGCACCCACCACATGGTTTCGTTTTCCTGACCTCGAGGGGTGCTCCGTAGGGCTGGTGCCCTGCCTCCCGGGTCTTGGCCGCTGGTGTGGGAGTGAGCCGTGGAGGTGGACAGTGGCGCTCCTCTGTTACCTTAGCGCTTGCATCCCCTCGGTCAGAAGAGCCCACCAGCGTGCTCTGGTGCAGGCCTGGGCGGGCGGCCTGTGGAAGCACCAGCGGCATTTTCTGTATTTAGCTGTAGCTTCGAGACCTTTGTAGGTGTGTGTGCAGTCGTGAGAAAGAATTCAGAGAGCACCTGTCTATCCTTTGCCCCATTTCCCCCAGCGTAACGCTTTGCGAAACCAGTCACTACCACCACCAGGATGATGACCTGAGGCCACCCACCATTCTCCTTCCCATTTAACCGTTCACCTGTGGGAGGTGCTCCAGGCCGGCTTTAGTTTGGGCTGTTCCCAGGAAGTGCACGCTCGCGGACAGGTTTTGTGTGAACGTAAATCTTCATGTGTCTGGGGCGGACGCCCAGGAGTGCCCTTGCCGAGTCGGACGGTGGTCGTAACTGCTCTGCCCGGCGGCCACACCGTCTCATTCCCTGTAGTGAGGTTTGCGCGTGTGCCTCGGTCTCCTGCCGCCTCACCAGCACCCGACGGCGCCTCCGCTTTCCCTCATACAGAACTGTGGTTGTCTTGCTCTAGGAGAAAGTTCAGAAGGACTCACTGAGGCCAGAGGCCCTGCGGTACCTGGAGCGACTGATCAAGCTGGGCAGGAGGAACGGGCTGCACCTGCCCGAGGACACTCAGCAAGTGAGTACCAGCTGTCGGGGCTGGGGTGGGCCCCCCTGCTTCGCGCAGCGTCAGAGGGCCCAGCCTATGGCTGGGTGCCCACCTCTCTGCTGCCTCCGTTCTGGGGAGGGAGGTCTGTCTGGAGTAGGTCTGCCTTTGCACCCACCTGCTCTGGATTCTCCAGGGTTATGGTGTGCGCTCCCTCAGCCACAGAGAGGGCGCGGTGCAGGGGGCACACCTCATCGGTCCCCTCCGTGACTTCAGTGCGGTGGCGTTAAGGAAGAGCTCACTGTGGCTGGGGGCCTCTGTTCTCCATACCCGCTACAACGGCATGGCTTCCCTCTGACACCGCACGTGTGGGGGTTCCCACATCACTCACCACTCTGTGACACCAGCAGGTGTCCTACAGTCAGACTCGAACACACTTACCTGGAGGCGGTGTGATCCAGGTGGTTCTCTCTCCTTCTGACTGACCAGTCTGGGTCAGAGGTTCCCACCACCTTTTCCTCACGCTCAAGTCATTTGCTAGAGCCGCTCACAGAACTCAGGAAAAGCTTGCTTACTACTACTGACTTACTGTAAAGGGTATAACCTGGAACGGCAAGGTCTGGGGGAGAGGCACGGAGCTCTGCCCCCCGCCCCGTGTGCACCACGCCGGAAGCTCTCTGAACCCCGTCCTTTCGGAGTTCTATGGGGACCTCATTGTGTAGGCATGACTGATTAAACTACTGGTGATTGATTGAACCTGCAGCCTCCGGCCCCTCTCCCCTCCCAGGGTAGCAGGGGGTGCCACCAGCCCCCATCCTCAGGGGCTTTCCAAAAGTCATCTCGTTAATATGCATTCGACTGTGGTTGAAAGGGGCTGGTGATAAGCAACACGATGGGCCCCACTCCTCTGTCACTCGGGCTGTTGCAGTTTCTTGTTACCACAGAAGAAATTCCAAGGGTTTTAGGAGCTGTGTGCCGGGAATGGGGACGAAGACCAAATACACATTGCTTATCGTAAGTCCCAGCCTCACAGATGGCATCTCCTGCGTTCTGGCCTGGATCAGCGGGCGAGCAGGGCCGTGCCTGCCCCCTGTCCTGTGGTTAATCACTGAGGATCTTTGTTCCCCCCATTCCCTCCCCGTTTTCTCTGCCAGGCAGCCACGTAAAGGAGATGGCTGGGCTGTGGGCTCTGGACTGGCTCGTTGGCACATAACAGGTGCCCTTAAGGGTGAGCTGTTTACCATCCCCAGGAACTGGCCACCCCTTCCGGTCAACGAGACCCCCAGATGGGAAAGCACCAAGACAGGAAAGACACAGTTAATGCCGACACTAGGTCTGTGCCCAGAGCTCAGCGACTGTCCCTCTTGTCACTTAGAACGGACGCCAGCACCTCTAGCTTGTGGTTGAAGAAACCAGGACTCCAAGGGCTGAGGCATGTTTGTTAACACCAGTGCTGGTGAGGGGCGCCCGGTGGGCTCAGTCGGTAGAGCGTGCGACTCTTGCTCTTGGGGTCGTGAGTTCAGCCCCATGTTGGGTGTGGAGGTCGCTTAAAAATAAAAATCTTTTTTTTTTAATACACATTTCTTTTTTTAATTAATATGTTTTTTTTGGGAGAGAGAGTTGGCGTGCGCATGAACCAGGGAGGCGCAGAGAGAATCTCAAGCAGACTCCCCGCTGAGCATGGAGCCCTGCATGGGGCTTGATCCCAGGACCCTGAGATCATGACCTGAGCTGAAACCAAGAGTCAGACACTCAACCAATTGAGCCACCCAGGTGCCCCCGTAAAAATAAGAAACTTAAAAACAAGAAAACCAGTGCCAGTGGGACTGGAGTCCCAATTCCATCGCGGGACTGTGGGACCCAGAGCCCAGTGTGGCGCCTCCGCTCCAGCAGGTGCAGGTGCTACGCTCGGCCGGAGCGACGGCAGCAGAGCTGCCGTTTTCATTTTTTTGTTTGTTTTTTTCTAAGATTTTATTTACTTATTCATGAGAGAGAGAGAGGCAGAGGGAGAAGCAGACTTCCCGCAGAGCGGGGAGCCCGATGCGGGACTTGATCCCAGGATTAAAGTATGGGATCATGACCTGAGCCGAAGGCAGACGCTTAACCATCTGAGCCACCCAGGCGCCCTTCATTTTTTATAAAGTAGGCTCCACACCCAACGTGGGGCTTGAACCCACGACCCCGAGATCGAGTCACGTGCTCCCCTGACTGAGCTGTCCAGGCGCCCCACAGTTCTTACAGTTCCGTCACGTTGTTGAAAGGCCGGCGTGTGTGCACGGGGGGCCGCACAGACGGTGACTTGGGGGCCACCTTGCTGGAAGGGACACGGAGCACCATGTGGAGCCGGGGCGGGGGGCTGGGTGGGGGCCCCGGAGCGTTGTCTTGTTCTGCGAGGGCACATGCTGTTGCCCTGCTGCATCTCAGAACCGTAAGTGGCTCGGCTTCGGTGAGATGAGCAAGTGAGGGCTGGGGCCGGCGAGGCCCAGTGCGCCTGTGTGGGCTGGTTCTGAGCCAGGGTCTCGCCCAAGGAGCCCCGCGTTGCCCGCGAAGCTGTCGGGCACACTTGCCCTGCCCCGCCCCCCTGTCCTGCTAGCGCAGAGCCTCTGTCGTCAGGCCCAGGGCTGGGCTCGGCTCCAGGCCCCCCGGAGGTGGCGGTGGGCCCACGTTGTGGCCCCACGTCACCCCCTCCTGCGCCGCGCCTCGCCCCCCTCAGAAGTTTCCACGTTGAGGCTTAGCCCTGCTGCTCTGTCAAAATGTCCGAAAGCCTAGGCTGCGGACTCTGAAGGTAGTAGGGTCCAGGATGCTCTTGGCTGGGGACGCTAGCCGAGGTCCCCAGGGTCTCCAAGGCCGCTCAGTATGGAAGCCCGTGTCTGTGTTCTGTTGGCGTTGTGCACAGCGGTGTTAGAACCTGATGTCTGTGTCTTTTCCGTCCCTCTTCTCGCCTCCCTTGTCTCTTCTGCCCGTAGGGAGGGAGCCCCCAGCCCTGGTGGAAGCACTCCACTCACAGCTGTGCTCCTCCCTGCAGAAAATCAAGAGCATTAAGAAGAAGCTGAGTCTTCTGTGCATCGACTTCAACAAGAACCTGAACGAGGACACGACCTTCCTGCCGCTCACACGAGAGGAGCTGGGTACTGGCGGGGGATGCGGGTGGGGGCGGGGGGCTGATTCGCGGCTTCAGGACCCTTGCAGGCCGTGGCCACCACCCGCAGGCTTCCGAGGTGCGGGGACGTGTGTCCCACCGCCCTGGGCGAGGGGCTTTCTTCCCTTGGAGCAGTCAGCACTTTCTAGATCCTTCCTCGAGCAGTGCCCAAAGCGCTGGGTCAGGCGGCTGAGTTAGCCAGGATTTGCCCTTTGAGGCCCACGCCCCCACCTGCTGCCTTTCTCGTTTGAATCTTGTAAGAGGATCAGATAGACTCAATCTCCGCTGGTTCTTTTTCCCACACCTGGCTGTAGGTGGGAATTACGAAAGGTTGGGGCCGAGGTGTCTTTTTTAATGTGTAGTCTTTGCTTCTCTTGCCCCAGCTGTTTCATTTCAAAAAACTTGACACTGTGGGAAAGTTGTAAGGACCGTACCGTGGGAAGCCCTGTGCCCTCGGCGTCCCCAAGCTGACAGTGCACCTTCTGTCCTTTCCGTGGACACTGCCACACATATGTTCCCGCTGTGGGAGAGTCGTGTGTAGGCCTGTGAGCCGTCCCCAGGAGTGCACCTCGCACTCGGAACGGCCGCATCGTGGAGAACACAACCTGTGTCCCCCTGTGCCGCCGGCCCGGGGACACTCCTTGTATTCCTCTCCGCCGTCGCGTCCGCTCACGGAGCACCGTCACATGGAGTTTTCCTGGCTCTTTAGGCTCCTTTTCCGATGAGCCGCCCCTCAGCTGTTCACACAAGTGTTGTCATCTCTCCTGACGTGGACGCTTTTGAAAAGCCCAGGCCCTGGTTTTGCTGCTGCCTGGGGGCTGGCCGTGCCGGGCCTCGTGGCCAGAGCTCCCCCCCAACCACTGCCAGAGGTCCCCCCCGCCCCGCCCCGCACCTGGAGGCCCCCAAGGGCAGCTGGCTTGCAAAGGGGCCCACAGCGGCGGGCCTTCCCAAGCAGGGGCTTGCAGGTCGGTCAGCGCTGCCCTCTGCTGCCCTTTGTTCTGGTTTGGTCCCTTCCGTGCCTGGGCCTCAGGCGGCACGTCCCCCCATGTGGCTCCCCGTGTAAGGACACGCGCCCGCTGTGTTTCCTGGCCAGAGGAGGATCCGGGTCTCGAATTCGGCCGACAAATTTGCTCGCCCACACCCTCGCATGGGCCGGCTTTTCGGCCCATTTGTCTAGCTCGAGGGGCCTCCCGTGGAGCAGAGCCGGCCTCAGAGGGCAGAGGCGGTGACCGTGGCCGGGCCGGCCTGAGCGGCCGGCCTGTGGGTCCTGCTGAGCAAGGGTGTGGCGCGTGTTGATTTCCTGCTTGCCAAAGGGAGAGTTGGTGTCCCTTTACAGGGTCTCGGACAGCATGTCTCTCACTCTGTCCCCTTCCCCCTGAGTCTCCGCTGCTCGGGGAAGGCGCTCCTCTGCCGGGTGTCTCCCTGGTCGGCAGCAACTCCGGGGGGGGCCTGGGCTGCAGCCCCTCCCGTGTGCTGCTGGGTGAAGCTCCCGCGAATGGTCTTCTGACCCCGTCGTTGCTGTGCGTTTGTGTGCTGGTCTCTCGAGTCAGCACCTCCCCCCAGTAGTGGATTTATCTGCAGTGGCGGTGTGGACAGAGGCCCCATTACTCCCGGGGTTGTGATCTCTGCTGTCCCTGTTTTGATGCTCATATTGTCCCAGTTCCACCTCAAGAGCCTCTGCAGCTTGAAGTGTCCCTGTTATTCTTTGAGCACTTTCTTTGAGACTTGGGTTCCAGGCTCCTTTTGTCCCCACCCTGGCCTGGGCGGCTGTTTAGAAACTGCGATGTGGGTGCCGCGCGTGCCCATTGCTGCTGTGGGTCTGTTGTTCCCAGGCCCTGTCCCAGAGTTAGGAAACGGGCATCTGCACACGTGCACACGCTTGTGCACACAGCGAGCACTGCCCACCCTGCCGCCCAGCGTCCCTTCTCACCTGTCCAGAGGGCCCCGGGCGAGCTGGCCTTGGAAGGAGCTGTGGGCCAGGTCGGAGCTGGGGCTGTGGTGGCCCCTGGAGGTTTTCAGTCTGAGGTGATGCACCCGGATCTCTGTCTTAGGAGGACAGTTCGGCGCAGGGAGCCGGGTGGGGGCCTTTGCAGAAGTTCGGCCCGTCAGGAGGGCGAGGGTGGCATCTGTCCACCCCTCGTGTCGCTGTTGGGGGAGGGACGAGGGAAGAGACTGCAGTTCCCGGAAGCCCCCTGTGTCGGGGTTGAGCCGAGGGGAGCTTTTCCTCCCTGGGAGCCCTGGTGGGAAGGGCAGCAGCTCTCCGTCTTCCCAGAGGGGCTCAGGGCAGGGTGGGGAGGCCGGGCCCGGCGCCCTGTTCCCCGTAGGCTCCCAGTCCTAGCCTCTCGCGTGCTTCCAGCCCCAGCTGCACGGGCCTGGCAGCTTCTTGGGCCTGTGGCAGGCGTGGCTTTGTTCCCGCAGGAGGCCTCCCGGAGGACTTTTTGAATTCGCTGGAGAAGGCTGGGGATGACAAGTTGAAAGTCACCCTCAAGTACCCACATTATTTTCCCCTCCTGAAGAAATGCCACGTGCCTGAGACCAGGAGGAAGGTGGAGGAGGCCTTTAACTGTCGCTGCAAGCAGGTGGGAGGGCAATGCCTGGAAGTCGCGGGGCCTGTCCTGTCTGCCCGGTGCCTCCTGGGCCGGGCTCGGGGGTCGGCAAGCCCCGGGCGAGCTCAGCCTGCCCCTCCCAGACTTCCGTGCCGGGGCTGGCTCTGGCTCTGGGCCCGGGGCCACAGCTCAGGGTCTGACCTCTTCCCCAAGCCAGTCCCGTGTCTGTGACCATCCGCTGCTCCCGCGCCTTAGCTTCGGTCATCCCCTCTCTCTCTCTCCAGTGGCGTTGCTGGGGCTTGAGCTGGGGTCTGCAGACGCGCCCTCCCCTTTTCTGTGTCTTGTGTGGTGGCCTGGGCCCTCTAACTGCGGCCTGGGGCGTGTCTTCAGCGCACAGACATCCATTCCCACACAGACGCTTGTGTTTGTGTCCACGCCGCGGTGTGGCCTCGCTTCTCCTGTTCAGTGTCTCCAGCAGACGGGGGTGAGCTCCCCGTGCACAGTGCCCCCTGCGGCTCACCTGGCCCCACATTGCTCTCCACTCACGGCCTTCGAACCCTTCACGGTCACACCCTTTCTGGGTCCAGAAGGGACCTGAGGATTAATAGAGAGATGCATGTGTTATGGCAGAACCACAGGGCAGCCATGGAAACCTAGGCCATGGGAAGGGGGGTGGGGACGAGATGCAGCTGGCTGGGTCCTGGCATTCCAGAACTGTGCTGGCCACGGGACCCAAGTGGGAGGTGGTGGGCCTGGCGCCCACAGAGCTGGTCGTTGGTCGGTTCCAGGAGAATTGTGCGATCCTCAGAGAGCTGGTGACCCTCCGGGCCCAGAAGTCCAGCCTGCTGGGATTCAGCACGCATGCCGACTACGTCCTGGAGATGAACATGGCTAAGAGCAGCCAGGTGGTGGCCACTTTCCTAGGTAACCCTTTGCCTCCCTCAGCCTCCTGCCGTGGGTTCCAGGAGTGGGGTTCAGGTTATTCTTGCCTGCAATGTGGTGAGGCCTCCGAGAGCCACATTCTGTCCACCCTGCAGTGGGAATCCTAACACCTCCCTGACCCCTGTTCAGCCTCAAGGGGCTCGAACCTGATGGCCGAGCGTAGGGCTCTGGGGTGAGCCTGCGTCTGCCCCTGGCTGCTGCGTCCTGGTGTGAGCTCTGGGCAAGCGTCCCCACTCTGGCCATCCTTTCCTGCTCGTGGAAGGAGACCGAGGGGCCCCTGCCCGCACCCCCACCTGCTGCAGGGCGATGTCTGTCTGGCTTGTGCCGGCAGTCTGGCCTTGCAGGTGGGATGCTGGCGCCATCGTGCTGCGGACCGGGGCTGGCGGGGGAGCCGCCGCCGGGTAGCCTAGCCTTCCCCTCTGCCCTCTCCAGATGAGCTGGCCCAGAAGCTGAAGCCCCTGGGGGAGCAGGAGCGGGCCGTGATCCTGGAGCTGAAGAAGGCCGAGTGCGAGAAGCGGGGCCTGGACTTTGACGGGCGCATCAACGCCTGGGACATGCGCTACTACATGAACCAGGTGGAGGAGACCCGCTACAGCGTGGACCAGAACCTGCTCAAGGAGTACTTCCCCATGCAGGTGGTCACCAAGGGCTTGCTCAGCATCTACCAGGAGCTGCTGGGGCTGACCTTCGACCTGGAGGAGAGCGCCACCGTGTGGCACGAGGACGTGAAGCTGTACTCCGTGAGGGACTCGGCCTCAGGGAAGGTCATTGGGAAGTTCTACCTGGACCTCTACCCAAGGTGCGGGTGAGCCCGGAGACCCTTCCTTGCCCCTCAGCGTTCCCATCTGTGGAACGGGTTGTGGGGCTGCCGCGGTGCAGGGCCGGGTGAGGGGCCCGGAGTGCTCACTGCCCAGGGGGAGGGTGCCCAGGAGGTTCCGCCCGAGCCGTGGGACGGAGTGTGGGGCAGGCCCCCGGCTGCCGAGGAGCAGGTTTGAGCTGCTCTGTGCAGGTGCCTGGGCTGGCAGATGGGTCGGTTAGGGGCTCCGGCGGGGTCAGGAGCCCTGTCGGCCGGGTGGTGTGTGCCGCAGATCCCTGGCTGGGCCCGACCCTGCCTCCGTCCCCAGGGAAGGGAAGTACGGGCACGCGGCCTGCTTCGGCTTGCAGCCAGGCTGCCTGCGGCACGACGGGACCCGCCAGATCGCCATCGCGGCCATGGTGGCCAACTTCACCAAGCCTACCCCGGACGCCCCGTCCCTGCTGCAGCATGACGAGGTGGAGACCTACTTCCACGAGTTCGGGCACGTGATGCACCAGCTCTGCTCTCAGGTGGGTGCAGGGGCCTCGGGGACGGGGGCGGTGCTGGCGGTTGGTGCGTCTGGAGGCAGCCGCCTCCCTGGACGGCGCCCCGCTCCTTGGGTCACCACCGAGCCCTGCAGACGGCTGGCTCACTGGATAGAAATGTGTCTCAGCGGGGCTGGGGGTCTGCAGTCAGGGTCAGTGGTGCCCGCAGCCGCTGTCTCCTCATGCCCTCACACCGTTGTCCCTCTGTGTGTGTCTGTGTCCTCCTCTTCTACCATAAGGTTGCTGGTCATTGGGTTAGGGCCACCCTAACTCGTTTTAAGCTGAATATTTCAGTGATCGTTAGTTTACCAAGTCACGTAGCCATCACTGCTACCCAAACTTTTTTTTTTTTTTAAAGATTTTATTTATTTGAGAGAGAGAATGAGAGAGAAAGAGAGAGAGAGCACATGAGAGGGGGGAGGGTCAGAGAGAGAGGCAGACTCCCCGCTGAGCAGGGAGCCCAATGTGGGACTCGATCCCGGGACTCCAGGATCATGATCCGAGCCAAAGGCAGTCGCTTAACCAACTGAGCCACTCAGGCGCCCATACCCAAATGTTTTGAAACATTTCCGTCACCAGAAAGAGCCTTCGTCCCTTGTAGTTGTCCCCCCGCGGCCCCCATGAGCCCCCTTCCCGTCTGCGGATGAGCCCGTTCTGGACGTGTCACCCACGTGGACTCACACCCCGTGTGACCTTCCATGTCTGGTTCCCTCCCTGAGCGTCGTGGGCTCGGGATCCGTCCCCAGGGCCGAGCGTGTGGGCGCCTCGCCCCTGTTTTCTGCCGAGTAACATGCCTGCGCGTGGGATGCGCTGAGAAGCGTGTTTTGAGCAGAGGGTTTGACTTTGGTGTTCAGTGCACTGTCTTTTTTATTTCATGGTTTTCACTTTTTATGTCTTGTTGAAGCGATCATTTTCTCCTAATTTTCCTTTTCTAGAAGTCTGGGCTTTAACTCTCTGTGTCTGTCTATCGTCCGCTGTGCGATAAGTGTCGTCTTGGGGTGACGGCGCTCAGCGCTCCTCAGGGCAGGGCGGCGTCTGCAGCCCTGGGGCCTGTGTGCCCCGGCCGCCTTGCCCTGTCCACACTCCCCTCGCCTCTGCCTGCCTCTGCGCTGCGTGCCCACGGGGTATGTCCCGGATCTGGAACGTTCTTTTGCCAGTGACTCTCATGGCTCCCTCATTTCCTTCAGGTCTTTGCAGAGACACGTGCTCACTGTTGGCAGTTCTGTAAAGTCGCTGCGAGCCCACTTCGCAGATACCGAAGCAGGGCTCCCGCGGGAGCACAGGGTTGGGTCCCTCGGGTCGTGCGTGTTTCTGTTTACAGACACCTCTGGTAGGTGCCGCTGGTCCGTCACACTGAGCTCCCAGCCGACCGCGCTGTAGCTCACGCATCTGACCGCGGGCTGTCCCTGCACATCACGGCCTTCTTGCCCTCAGGAAAGCCGGAAACCACTTCAGCGTGGCAGTTGGGATCCATTTTATTTATTTTTAAAGATTTTATTTATTTATTTGAGAGACAGAGTGAGAGTGAGCACAAGCAGGGGGAGTGGGAGAGGGAGAAGCAGGCTTCCCGCTGAGCAGGGAGCCCGATGTGGGGCTCGATCCCAGGACCCTGGGATCATGACCCGAGCCGAAGGCAGACGCCAGGCGCCCCTGTTGGGATCCGTCTAAACAGCCCAATCGCTTACAAAAACATAAAAATGGGGGGGGGCTCTCAGCAGAGCATGAAAAGGACACTTGTTCACAGAGCTGAAGCCCAGAGGCAGAGCGTTAAAGGACCACGAAGCGCCACAGGTGTTGGTCTTGGGTTGGGAATTTTAGCAAGTAGGCAAAGTCCCAAATAAGGCCTGTGCGTAACGAGGCCCAACATTCGTCCTCTCCCGTTCTGCCCCCCTCCGGGCCTTGAAGGGACGTGCCCGGGTGGCCCCCAGAGCTGGGCTCTACACGGCTTCAGGAGAACGGCTGAGCTAACAGTGGAGAAAGCACAAGGTGCCTCCAGCACCACCATCCACATCCTGTGGCTTCCAGGCCCGCGCCTTTGGGGTCTAGGGCTTTTTTGAGAGCGTTGGCTTTGTGGATGAGGAAGGGAACCCAGGTGGCCAGCCGGGGATGGGCGTGCTCCCCGCCTCCGTGTGTCCTGGGCTGGGAAGGCTGTTAGCAGCGCCCGGGAGCCTCCGCTGCCCCCCGTCCCCAGCCCTGGGGCTCGCGCAGCCTGTGCCTGTGAGGAGAGCAGAGCGTACCCCGTGCCCCGGCAAGGCCGGCGGCTGGCAGGGCAGGGTCCAGACCTCCCTGCAGCCCTGCCCGCCCCCACAGGCGGAGTTTGCCATGTTTAGCGGGACGCACGTGGAGCGGGACTTCGTGGAGGCACCTTCTCAGATGCTGGAGAACTGGGTGTGGGAGAAGGAGCCGCTGCTCAGGATGTCCCAGCACTACAAGACGGGCAGCGCCATCCCCCAGGAGCTGCTTGAGAAGCTCATCAAGTCTCGGCAGGCCAACACAGGTGCCCACCGGGGGCCGCCCTCCCTCCCGCCCAGGGCCCGCCCAGGCCCGCCCTCCCTCCCTTCTGCCCGGGGCCGCCCTCCTGCCTGGGGCCTCCGGGAGGCCTTGGCCCCGAGGTTGGGGGCGCGGGGGAGGCCAGGCGCGTGCCTTCTTGTGAGGGAGTACAGAGCCGGCTTCCCTGTCTCCATCCGCCCGTCAGGTCTCTTCAACCTGCGCCAGATCGTACTGGCCAAGGTGGATCAGGCCCTGCACACCCAGACGGCTGCAGACCCAGCGGAGGAGTACGCCCGCCTCTGCCAGGAGATCCTTGGGGTCCCAGCCACACCAGGTAGCCGCTCGCAAGGTGGGCCCACCTGGGGGGGGGGGGGTCAGGGTCCCAGCCGTTCCCGGAGGCAGAAGGATCTAGTGACGTGTGGAGGGAGTCAGGCCAGTCTCTAGGTGGTGGCTGAGGCCCGGGAGGAAGCAGACGGCCTCTGGCGCCCTTGCCGCTTGGTGTTCCTGGGCCTGTGGGCTCCAGCGTGTGGCTGGCAGCTGGTGGGTGTGAGCAGCTCCATCCCTTCTTGCCGTCCCTCCTTCCGCTCAGGCTGTATGCCGCTTCCCTCCCCGCCAGCCCCCGAACTCCTTCAGCGGTGCCCTCCCGCACCCTGCTCTGGAATAGGCCTGGGAGGTGCCGCAAGGAGCAGGGATGTCCTACCCTGGAGGCAGAGAGGAGATCAGGTTGTGATGCCTGTCCTTGGGCGTTCTCGAAAGTGCTTGGATGAACGCGTGTGAAAATCGGGATTTCAGCATAGGGGGTATGGCGTTGCTTTATTCTACAAGCACTTAAAAATCCCTTCAAAAGTTTAACCAGGGCGTGCTTTCCACCATATGGGCGTGCCTTGATTTATCCTTTTGTGTGAACTCTTCAGCGTCAGCAGGTAGCAGGCCAAGTTGTCCAGCTACCACTTTCCTGTGGGGCCCGTTCCTCTCCTCCTGGGTGTGTGGGTCACCTCCGATGGGGCTGATTTGAGGCTCCCTTCTCCCGGCAGCGGGCACTGAGGGGGCTGGGGGCTGGGGGGCCGCAGTGAGAGCCGTGCCACGTCTGTCCCAGGGACCAACATGCCTGCGACCTTCGGCCACCTGGCAGGTGGCTATGATGCCCAGTACTACGGCTACCTGTGGAGCGAGGTGTACTCCATGGACATGTTCCACACGCGCTTCAAGCAGGAGGGCATCCTCAACAGCAAGGTGAGGGCAGGCCAGCCACTCAGTGGGAGGGGGGCCCGCCTGCGGAGGGAGCAAGTGACCTTTCGGCGCTGCTCCCTGCCGCCCGGGACCAGGGGAGGGGAGCGGGGACACCTGCTGGTCTTCGCTGGGTCCTCCTGGGGCTGGGGCTCAGCCAGCTCTCCAGACCTGTGTTCTGTCACCGCAGAAGCTCAGCCACCTGTGCCGTGGGCTCGGCTGGGGCTTCAGCCTCTGTGACGTGAAGGGCCTCGCGGTGTTGTGAATGGGTGGGGTTCTGCACGCACGTGCTCGTGCACATGCTTGTGAATAACACTCGTGTGCTTGCGCGTGCATGTTCTCTCTGATGCTGATGCAGGCACCCACGAGCCCACTTGTGGCCGGGAGGGGATGCTCGAGGACTGACCACCCCCACCCCATTCCCAGCAGGTTGGCATGGACTACAGAAGCTGCATCCTGAGGCCCGGGGGTTCCCAGGACGCCAGCGTCATGCTGAAGCTCTTCCTGGGCCGAGACCCCAAGCAGGACGCCTTCCTCCTGAGCAAAGGGCTGCAGGTGGACCGCAGCGAGCCAGCAGCCTGCTGACGCACCAGAGCCCTGCCGGCCCCGGGCCAGCCCACCCCAGCCCCACCCTAGCTCCTGCCGCCCTGTTGCCTTAGCCCCCAGTCGGGAAACGGGGTGGCCTGCAGCTCAGGGTGGGGGGTGGGGGCAGGGTGAGGAGAGGGGGTGTTCGTCCTCCCCGTTCATTCCTCCTGTCCAGTCTCCTTGGTGGTCGGCCTGGGCTGGTGGGGTCTTATCCTCCAGATGCCTGGGAAACTGTGTCCCGTCAGGCCCGCCGATTTGTTGCACTAATCCATCCCCTTCTTGGGAAGTTTTCTGAGTGAAAAGATGGTGGTTCTTTGAAATGCAGCCATTAAAAAAAAAAAAAAAATTGTAAAGAAGGAAGAGACTGTTGGCCTGGTCTCTGACTCTTGTGCTTCTACCGCAGACCAGCGGACTATCCGTTGTCACATGGGGGTGATGTGCCGGTGAGCCCGTCAGCCCCGGATGTGCTTGGCCATCAGCCCTCAGGCCAGGGACACGGGGCGGTCGAAGGCTGGTGCGTTCTGGATTGTGACGGGTTGGGGTCTCCGGGAGCTGGCTGAGCTGTCAGACTGCGTGCAGGGGTGGGGGTGCCGATGGGAATTGTGGAACCGGCGTGCCCCTACCGCTCACCAGGAGGGGTCTGTTTCCCGCCGACCTCCCCCTCCCTGGGCGGCCCGGGCCCACGTGGACCAGGCTCAGCTCTTCCAGGAAGCTGGGAGGCCACGCCCGCCCTGGGGCCCTGGAGCCCCCCCGCTGGGCACAGCTCCTGTCCCGGCCCCTTGGCCAGGCCTAGGGATTTGTGATTTGACGGTTTGATTAATGGGCGCAGCTGCTGGACGCCAGGCTGGGACCTTTCTGGACCGCGTGACCTTGAAGACTAAGGCACGTGTGGTCCTCTTGGCTCAGCTCCCTCTGGCTGGTAGCAACGCAGCCAAGTCTGGGCCATGGGGACGGGCGGCCTTCCTGGGTCCTCTGATAGTTCTTCAAAATGCCTTAGGTGATACTTTCTGGTTGTGGAAATTCGGAAGGGGTTCTTGAGCAGCACCACTTCCTTTGGTCTGGGCCGCCCCGTGTGTTCTGTCTTCCCTGGTCTTTGAGCTCTTTGGGAGCCCTGCCACCTGCCCGGGAATTGTCCCCACCAGTCCGTCGTCCCCCTCCCCTCGAAAGGGGACCGATCCATGATCCGTGGAATGAGGAACCGTGCAGCTCCCTGACCCTTCTCCCCGAGGCAGGCGGCCATGCCTGTCAGGCTGGCACCTCGGGAAGGTCTGCCTCCTTGCCCAGCCCATTCTCACCAGCTCTAGGCTAGTCGGCTGTGGCCGCTGCGCTGAGGCAGACCTGGCTTACTTCCTGCTCCCTCCTCTGTGCCTGAGAGGGCGGGGAACTGGGGCCCAGAGCTGCTATGCTCCTGGCGTTCGAGGGCGCTGCTAAGAAGGTGGAGGTTTGGGGCGCCTGGGTGGCTCAGTCAGTTAAGCGTCTGCCTTCGGCTCAGGTCATGATCCCGGGGTCCTGGGATTGAGCCCCGCATCGGGCTCCCTGCTCGGCGGGAAGCCTGCTTCTCCCTCCTCCACTCCCCCTGCTTGTGTTCCCTCTCTCGCTGTGTCTCTCTCTGTCAAATAAATAAAATCTTAAAAAAAAAAAGGCTAAGACCGTCCCAGGCCGCTGTTGCTTACACTTAAACCAGCTGGGGCCCAAGAAGGGGCAAAGACAACCAACAGACCACACCTGGGCTTCCATCCGGGGCTCCCGTCCAGCAGTAGGCATGTTGGGGGCTGAGCTGTCCTTGCCTTTCCCCGTGCAGAGCCCCCAGACGGCCACGACCTGGTCCTTGTGCAAACCCAGGTGGGGTGCTGGCACCCCCAGCGGGGCAGTTGGGGGCCGGGGATGGGGACGGAGCCACAGGCCTGTGTCCCTGAGTGGGCCAGTGGGCTCGGGGGATGCTGCACCCCTCTCAGGTTTGGTTCAGGATGCCAGGGAGAGCTGTTGGATCCTTCCGGCCGGTGGCCTCGAGCAGCCGCTTTCCCCCTGAGGGAGCCGAGGGGCCGTCATGTGACTCCTCCCCTCGGGGCTGTTCAGCCGGGGCATCTCAGGACCGGGGCTGTGTCCACTCCTTCCCGGGCACCCTCATCCAGCAGTGCCAGCCGGAGCCAGCAGCCTGGCAGGACCCGGCTTGGTGCGGCCTCGGTGATGAGCACAGCTTTCTCGTTCTGGGAACCCCCATGTGGATCCTGGGTTCAAGTCTCAGGCTTGGCTTGTGGGGTGAGTGGGGCCCAGGGGGGACTTCCAGCCCAGGCTAGGCCAGGTGGGAGCCCACGTGACCCAGGAAACCGAGCTAATCTTGGCCGCAAAGGGGGCACAGGCTGGTGTGGTCTCATCCTCACCACCCCAGACCTTCCCTGGGCTTTCCAGCCCGCCCTGCCACGCAGGAGGTGGGGGCACCGCCGAGTCCCAGAGGGGCCCACGGTCCCAGGCTAGGGCGGGCACTGCGGCCCATCTCTCCAGCCAGAGCGTGGTTCACCGTGACACGTAGCCTCACTGGGCTGGTGCTGTCAGGCCCGTGACTCGTGTTGAAACTGGGAGTAGAAGTTCGGTGTCCCCTGTCCCCCCACCCTGACTCGGGACTGGGAGAATATAGGCTGTGGGGTACACGGAGCCGTGCTCGGTGACCCGGGGGGACCAGAGCCATGAGGAAGGCTGCCCCGAGCTGTGCACTGACGAACCCTGAGTTCCCTTTCCTGCTTCAGCCACTCTGAGCAGCCCTTGTCACCTGCAGCGCCCTGTCCCCGGCCCTGTCCCTGCCGGCCCCCCCGGGATACGTGGCAGTTGAAGCTGGGCTCGCCACAGCGCACCGGCCTCTCAGCCTCTGGGACTGTCGGGGCCCCCCTCCGACGGGGGGTGTTGAGGTAATCAGGGCGGGCGGGCGCCGGGGGCCCGGGGAGGGTTGTGTTGGTTCTGGTCCGGGAGGGACTTAGCAGTCCTCACCGCCCCTGAGCCCAGAGAACGGCACCGGCCCCAGGACCTCCCGCGGGCGTCTGTCCACGCCTCTCAGGACAGCGGCCCTGTCTGCGGGGCTGTGCGCGTGTTTATGGTTAATACCTTCGTGGAGGTAAAATTTCCATGAAAATCACACGTTTAAAGTTTCGACACTCGTTTGTCCTCGTGGAAGCATCACCATACTCAGGACGACACAGCGTGACACCCAGTTTCCTGGTGGCCCTGCCACGCCCCACACGGCTGTTCACCTGCTTCTGCCACTGCAGGTACGGTCCGTTTTCTTAGGGCTTGCGCGGACCGCCCCGTACAGGATGTCCTCGCTGTGGTTTTGTCTGGCTTCTTACGCCGAGGGTCATTACCTCGAGAGGCGTCCTTGCGGGCCCCTTATTCTTGGTGCACGTGATTGCATCGTCTGTGAATGTTGGTTCATTCACCCGGTCCGCTTCGGGGTTGGTTCCGGTTTGGGGCTGCCGGGAGTAAAACTGTGCGCGTTCGTGTGCCTGCCTGTGTGTGGACGTGGGCTTTCAGCTTTCTAGAAGTGGATTTCAGCTCTTCGGACAGGCGTGAGGTGGCCTCTCACTGGGGCTTTACTTTGCTTCTCCCTCATGGCGAACGATGTCCAGCCGCTCTTGACACGCTTGCTTGCCGTCCGTGTGTCTTTGACGAAGAGCCTCCTACCCATGTCTGCTAGCAGAAGTACTTGGAACCGGAGATACTTACGTGTTTAAAAGATTACTAGTTGTAATAGCGTCGAACATTAAACACGTGGCGATGAGCAGGACAAGAGACGTGCAGCTCTCCGCCCTGAGAACGCAGACTCCTGTCGAGGGAGGCAAGCAGAGAGGGGTTGAGCTTGTTCACCGAGCAGAGAGGCTCGGGAGATGCCTGCTCTCCCCCCGCCAGTGGGTCTACAGACACGGCGCGATCCCGGTTAAAATTCCAGCAGACTTTTCTTTCTTGTAGAAACTAACTGATGATTCTAAAATCTATATTAAAATGCAAAGAAGCTCAAGTGGCCGAGGAGGCCTTGAAATCTGGAGGACGTTCACCGTGCGTGACCCAAGACTGCTAGAAAGCCACAGTCGTGAAGCCGCGGTGTGGTTTGGGCACAGCGATGGACAGAATCAATGGGTGGAGCGGAAGAAACCGAAGTCCAGGAGCAGACCCACACGTAGGAGACGTCTGCGTTTGCACTGAAGGCATCGCGGCAAGTCGGGGGAAAGGAGTCCCTCTCCAGCCGGCGGGCCCGCATGTGCTGAAGACTGAGCCTCGGTCCTCCAGCTTACACGCCGCGCGAAAATGAGCTTAAAATGGACCCTCTAAACGTGAAAGGCCAGCAAATATCTCCGGTATGTTCTCCCAGCCCCCGTGCGGCCTCTCACCCGTGGGAGTCGGTGGTATTTGCAGAATCAGTGAAGCCAGCAGGCAGACTGCAGTGCGGGTGTGTCCGCAGAGTGGCAGGGCCTCGCCACACGTAGACATTCGAGGCTCTCGCCTCAGAGAACGTGCTAGAAGGTCCCTGGATGGAAGTCCTTCTGAGATGTTGGACAGGTGTCTCGATCTCCTAGACAAGCCTAAAACTAAAATCGAACAATATTGAATATTCTATTGATGACCAGAGGAAAGTGCCCCGGAATGATGCATCCAGAGAGGGTCGGAAGAAGCCAGGGTCCCGAAGTATGACCAGTGGCTGAGCAAACACTCTTGACTACAGAGTTTTAGCGCTCGAAGACCAGTTTCCTGAAGTAGGCCCAAACTGGCCATGGTCTGAGGATTGCACTGTTGAATCACCTGCACATCTTCCATCGTGTAGATTCAGGAACGCTGCTTTCGAGCTTGTGTGTCAGTAGACTGTGGGGAGGGGGGTCCGGGGTTATGGGGGGCAGTGTCCAGTAGAGAATAAGGAAGACAACCGTGTGGCTACAATGGATGTCACTCAAATTTCCCACGTGAAAACATCTTTAGGTTATGGTTTTTGACAACAATACAGTAAACTTTGTCGCAAATAACAGAAACGTAAGTGTGAGAGCGCTTGCCAACAATGAAAGCTTAGG